TTGATATTATTAAAAAAATTAGCGATTTTTTCTCCCTGAAGCAAATTACAAAAAAAAACCTATTTACAAAAAACCAATATTACATGGTTGGTATGATTGTTAATACATTGTATGTCTCCCAGACGATGCAATACAGTCCGTACAACGCCTAGGCATGCTGAGTATCAAATTATCGATCTGATCTTGGGGGATATTATACCACTCAAAAAGCAATGCTCTCCGAAGTTTCGGTATACATGTAGGAGGAGGTTGACGGGCTACAACTCGTCGGCTAAGCATGTCCCACACGTGCTCTACTGGATTCAAGTCCGGTGAGAATGCTGGCCAGTCCATACGGTGATATCTTCCGATTGAAGGCATTCACTTACGATGTTTGCACGGTGAGGACGGACGTTGTCATCCATAAACACAAATTGTGCGCCCATGGCGCCCCGAAACAAACGTACGTGTTGTTCCAGAATGACGTCCCGATAGATTTGGCTTGTCATGGTTCCAATTTGAACATGCAGGTCAGTTCTGGAACCCAGAACAATTCCACCCCAAACGAGCACTCCTGCACCACCGTAACGGTGTCGTTCAATGATGTTTTCTTGTTGGTAACGGGTACCTGGAGCTCTCCATATGAAAGTCCGGCGAGAATCAGACTGCAAGCTAAACCTGGACTCGTCGGAAAACATCACACAAGCCCACTGTTGCGGTGTCCACAATGCATGCCCTCTACTCCAGGCTAACCGCAGGCGACAGTGAGTTGCAGTAAGTGGAACGCATCTGACAGGTCTATGAGCATATAGACCAATCTGCCCTAAGCGTCTGTACACGGTCTGCCTTAAAATTGTCGTACCAGTGGCTGAAGAGAGCTTACGAGACGGGTCTGAGGCTGTGCTGCGCCTGTTTCTTTTGGCAGTAACTGCCAAATACCGGTCCTCATTCGGCGTCGTAACTCTGGGGCGACCTGTGCTGTAACGTCTACTCACATTACCATCATCTTGGAATCGTTGCCAAAGCCTGGAGATGACACTCTGGGCGATTCCAAGTTCGTCTGATACTTCCGGTTGGGTACGCCCACATTCCAGACGGCCGATAATTCTACCACTTAAAAAATCATTCAAATGCGTCCTTTGTGACATAACTATTCGGTTATTGCACTGAAATGCTTATGAAGCGCCTGCGAACAATTTTACTTCTTTGCCTCTATTCCTTATATATCACTCTCTTACGCTCTCGTCATTGTGACGTACCATCGGTATCATCTGGTTACTTCCTGAAAATTGCATATGATTCTAAAGATGCGTGTAGTTATTTTACAGGTGATATATTTATTTTAGAGTTCGATTTCCGCGTGACTCCGAATTATCCTTAATTTATGGACATGAGTGTATATTAGATTTATACTGGTGTGCAAAAATTAAGGACGAGACGGTTTTTTCAATATAACTTTTTACAAAAGCTTTCCAAATCAACACATTTAATACCGTAAAATCCCCAATACGTAAGGACATGTGTAATGTAAGCAACACTTACTAAAAGAGAAATCAGAGGGATAAAAAGAAGCTTTATTGAAAAAGTAGCATGGAGCGCAATGCGACTGAAGGCCGAAACATCCCTGTGATGGGTGTCCAGCAAGAAACATCCGGTCTTTGATAGGGGATATGATCTCCCCTGACTGCTAGGCAGGTTTCACAGCGTCTGCCCATGCTGAGAATGAGGGTGTCAATGAGTTGTTGAGGCATTGCTGCCCATTCGTCTTGCAGCGCCAATCGAAGCTCCGGAATCGTTACTGGTGGTAAGGTACGAGCTGCCAAGCGTCTGCCTAGAAAATCCCATACATGTTCGATGGGATTGAGATCCGGAGATCGTGCCGGCCAATCCATACGTTCAATATCCTCACTCTCTAAGAGCTGTTCGGCAGCTACTGTGCGATGACATGGTGCATTGTCGTCCATGAAAAGGAACTGCGGACCCATAGCGCCTCTAAAAAGACGCACATATTGAAGAAGAATCTCGTTACAATAACTGGTCCCGTTGACTGAACCTGCGTCGAAGATGTGAAGGTCTGTACGACTACCAAGCATGGTGCCTCCCCAAACGAGAACACCGCCACCTGCATACCTGTCCCTTTCAATGATGTTCGAGGGAGGATTGCGGCTTCCCCGCTCTCTCCAGATGAGTATGCGATGAGAATCGCTACTCAGATTGAACCTGCTCTCATCTGTAAAGAGTTCTCGTCCCCATTCATTGTCTCTCCAATTCCGGTGTTCCCGGCACCACAGAGAACGTCTTCTCCGATGGGCAGGCGTTAGAGGTACACACCGTACAGGGCGTCGTGCAAACAGACCACCACCGTGCAGTCTGTTGGTGGCAGCTTGCCAGTTGGCTGCTGTTGAGGATATTTTGGAACAGAAGTTTGACTTGATAACTGTCCAGGAGCCCTATTATGTAAATACAGAAATCCCACATTTAAAAAAGGGTTGGAGAGCGGTGCATGATGTAAGGGGAAGATCTGCCATAATTGTTACCAAAGAAGAGATTGAATTTATTATAGATTATAAAACAAATGAGATAGTAGCCATCTCCTTGAGAATGGAGAACAATGGGTGTTGTGTCGGTATACTTCTTCCCTGCAGAAAACTTGAATTTACATTTGACAAGACTTGAAGACGTTTTACAAGTATACATTTTATTTTATTGCGGGTGATTTTAATTCAAAACATTTTAATTGGGGTTCTACGACTGTGGATAATAGAGGTGTTTTAGTTATGGACTTTTTAATACAGAATAATATTATATTTATATAGACAATCAGACTCATTACCAACTTTTGTTTCCGCAGTAGGGGAAGGTTGGACAGACTTGATTCTCAGTTCTGCCTTCTCTCTCCCCGTTTCGTATTGAACTCAAGATACATGAAGAGGAGAGTCTTAGCGACCATAGATATGTTGCTGTTGATATTGATGATGTTCAACCTGTGAGAAATGAGAGTACTGTTTTTACGAAAAGTATTGTTAGAATAAATAAATTTTGTAAAAAACTTAAACTGGATATGGAACTAATGACGGATAGATTGAGATCAATTGATGATGAAGATAATTTTGAGAATTTTGTGGATTAAGGTTGATTGTCCAGGAGCCTAAGAGGTACCTGATTATACGGGGAAATAAGGCCAAGAAAACCTATTGGTGGAATACGAGTTATCAAAAAAATGAAGCGACGGGTGAGAGCACTGAGAAAGAGTTTTCAGTTCAGAGATATTGACGAAGAAACAAGAAATAAAAGAAAGGTTTTATATAAAAGAGAGATGGCACTTTACATAAAGCAGATTAAGAAGAGCAAATATGAGGGTAAAATCAAACATTTCTTGGAAAATAAGATATATCATGGCTGTTACTTTTGTTTTGCCCAGGGGAAGCGTTGGCTACCACAGATAATAAGTAGAGTCTAGGAGGGCTAATATAAGGAATACACTGAGGTGATTGAGGAATATTTTAATAAGAATTTTGACTGTGGGGAGTTTGAGGACGGGATTATTGATCCTGAAATGTTGAATTTTTCAAATTGTTGTGCTGATGATCTGCCTTTTACTTCTAATGAGATCGGATATGTAATTAATAAACTAAGAAACAAAAGTGCTCCTGGACTAGACAATATTTCTGCAGTGGTTGTAAAAGATGCCTTTATAAGTATTACGAAGAGTTTTTTTGTCTTATTATATAATACATGTTTCCGCTTGTTGGTTTTTCCCGAGGGCGTGGAAAAATATCAAGAATTATATTTATACCGAAAAATGAACATGCGGTTAGACCAATTTGCTTGTTAAAATTTTTTAGTAAGGTCCTGGATAGACTTCTCACCAATAGATTGTATCATTTTTTCTACAGAGAAAATTTTATTTCGGATAGACAGTTTGGCTTTGTCGCAGGCAGATCAACCAATGATGCTTTGTATAAATTGATCAATATTATTTCTGAGAAAAAAAGAGATTATCATGTAACTGTTGTCTCATTTGATATTTCAAAGGCCTTTGACTCCATTATATGGTCATCGCTGCTCTCCACCCTCGTGAATTTTAAGATTCCTTGCAATATATTAAAAATTTTTTGTAGCTACTTTCACAATAGGAAGGTTGTTTATTCATATGGTGGGGATTCTGAAGTGGTTAAATCAGTTTATAAAGGTTGCCCACAGGGATCCTCGAGTGCTCCGCTGCTCTGGGGTGCAGTAATTTACAACTTGCTGAATACGAGTCTTCCCGAGGGAGTTGAAATCATCTGTTATGCAGATGACATACTTTGTGTGGTATACGATGTGTCTCTTGAAAAATTAGAAAAAAAGATTTACATTGGTGTGTGATGTTCTTGAGAGATGGGCTATAACGGAAAGACTCACCTTCAACTTACAAAAGACATCCTTTTTGTTTTTCTCAAATGGGGGAAAAAGACTAGACCTCCCAAATGACGTTTTCAGGGAACATTATTAAAAAAGAGTCGAACAATTTAAATACTTGGGAGTCATATAAGTAGATAATAATAGATGATAAAAACTGAATTTCGAGTCACACTTCAAGGAAATTCAAAGGAGAACAGATTCAATACTCTTATATCATAAGAGACATTTTCCAGCGGGTGTCATCCGACCTTAAGAGAGATATTATTAGAACTATTTATAGAGTAGTTGTTGTTCCTATTGTGTTATACGGTATTGGTTGTTGGGGCTCCAGAGCGGCGGAGTTGTTGAGAATCAGGAATAAGTTATTGACGATTCAGCGGCCCTGGCTGCTGTCACTGGCTAGGTGTTTTAGGACAACTCCAACTGAAACTGCCTGTGTATTGGCCGGCACGCCGCCCCTCTCGATTTTTTATAAGTTCTTTTATGATAAATTTTTGTTATCTACATGTAAGAGAGATTTTATGTATTATGGTGATTATTTAGCTTGTTGTACTGCATTTTATAATGTTAATCCTTACTGCATACACCCAGCCAAGAGAATGAGCATTAATTATGAAATGAACTTTGATTGTTTTGGTGAACTTGATATTTTCACTGATGGTTCTAGGTTTGGGGAAAGTGTTGGCCTATCTTTTGTTGTTTACTATTATGGTATAGAAATTGATTATTCAAAGATAAAGTTAGAAAAATTTAATTCTGTGTTTCAGGCTGAACTTGCTGCTATTTATTTTGCTATGAAATGGATTAAGAAAAACCTATCTAAGAGTTATAGTATTGTAGTTTATAGTGATTGTTTATCTGGATTACAGGCCTTGAAAAGCTACGATTGTAATAACTCTTTAGTTATGGATATTAAGTGTTTATATAAAGAAATTGAAGGTTTGCATAATATTAAATTTAGATGGGTTAAGTCCCATGTGGGTATTGAAGGTAACGAGAGGGCCGACGTGTTGGCCAAAGAGGCGACTTTGGATGTTTCCGGGGAGTGTTCCGTTGTCCAGCCTTCAAGAAAAATGGTTATTACTAGAATCAAACAGTATTATATTGATTTGTGGTATGATAATTGGAATAATTCGAATAGAAGAAAAGAATATGCCTATTATTTAAAACCTATGTTTAATAAAAGTATTTCTTGTCATTTGGATTTTAATCAAATTGTTACTGGACATGGGCGCTTCCCGGTGTATCTTAAAAGATTTGGCATACAAGAGAATGAATATTGTCATAATTGTGGAGTTGTCGGATCGGCAAAGGCACTATGTGGAAGAATGTACACTTACTTATGTGGAAGATATGTACACTTACTGAAAAAAATATAATAAAAAATTTAATTTTATTAAGATTTTTACAGGTGCTGAAAAAGAATTTAAATTTGCAAGGGAACTTATGTGTTTTTAAATAATAATCGCTCTGATGTTGGTATTTTTATTTGATAAAAGTTTGTTTTTAAATTTTGTGTTACAATAATTTAAATTGAGATATTGGTGTTTATATGGAATTTTAACATAATTTTATTCAGTGCGTTATGTGGTGTATTTTATGCGTTTTTATAATTATGTATTTTATATGTATTTCATGTAATATGTAATTTCATGTATAATTATGGTTTTTATATGTATTTATATTTTTTTTTTGGGTTTTTTACTTGGCGCAGCCCTTGTTTGTCATAAAATCTTGTCGATTAGGTGGATGGGGCTGCGCCCTATTTACACCGTCAATTTCTACCACGTAAAACGCGATATGGTCGTCAGTCGCCTGTGTCGGTGTCTAGCGATTTCTCCCTCTGTCTGCGCCTGTTTCTTCTGGCCTGTAAGGCAAATACCGGTCATCTGCGGGTGTGGTTCCTCGTGGACGACCACATTAAACCCCCGGATATGTTCCTGTAGTTTGAAATTGTCTCCAAAGTCGTGAAACGATGCTGTGAGCATTCGAACACTGCAGCCACACTTGTCACACTGCGGCCTCCTCCACTTCCCAATGATTCGACCTCGGGTAAAAAGCATCCAGATGTCGTCTAACAGATTGATTATTCGCCCTTTCTCGCTGAGGCAGCAACTCGGTGATTTTTAACTCTATACGGCGTGCAATCTCTTTGCCAGAAATACTGATCTTACACGAACAATATGCTTTATACTAATCAGACACTCCCCCATACGTTCACCTGCATATCTGCGCATGTGCTACCGTACATCACCTTACTTAATCTCCGATTGGTCCTTTCTGTCCGCTCTGCCTCTTCGTTCAGCTGATATGCTAATTTTTTAACTTCGTCCTTAATTTTTTCACACCAGTGTATATATATCACTATTCTAACATAGGTATTTTGACATAAAATCGGACTTTTTCTGAAATAACATATCAATTTTTTTACATATTTCGATTCTACGACTCAAATTATGCCTATATATTAACTTTTGTAAAATTTGGTGCGAAATTTACTGAGAAATTCAACAATTTATGTTGGCGCTTTTTATTCAGTTTGCGCCAAAATTAGTTCACTTGGCGAACTTCTTAATATGTGGCAACCTATTTTCATTTCCATTTTTACATAGTGCGTGAGAGGAAAAAAAAGACTCAATCGTTCCTTCTTTCAAATAATGTTCTTATCTTATATTTTTAATTATAATTTATTAATTTTAAGCAATTTTTTCTTTTTCGAATTTATTTAATTTTTACGTTGCATAGTTTCTTTCGAATAACTGTTTTAAAAAATTTCTATTTACTTATTCGACTGCGTAGTTTAAATCAAAGGCGCATCGTTTATTTTTTTTTCAACTAGTTTTCTTTATATTATATTTTTAGTCATATTACTATTTTAGCTAATTTTTAAATTTTTGGAATTTTTTTAAAATTTTTAGTGTTGCATTGTCTCTTCAGATATAATTTTAAAATTTTCTATTATTCATCGAACTGAGCTTTTAAAAATATTTATTAATATAAATTTTCCAGAATTTGATTTTATTTATTTGAATTGCGTTTCTTCGGAAGAATACTTTGTAACCCCAGACTACGATGCATTTGAAAACTGCATATATTAAAGAGAAAATAAGTAAGCACATTTAACACGTCTTTCAATGTTCCGTTCAGAAAAGAGATATATAAATAAGAAAGAGATAACCGACATTTTAACTAGGATGACTTTGCTTACACTGTTAAACAGTTTTTATCATTGTGCCAATGCTTTACACAGTTTTATTCTACATTTTGTTTCTTAAAATTTATTCCTATTTAGTCAAATATTTATTTTTGAAATCGCAAGAATCAAATATCATAAGATTAAAAAGTTTTAAATTAAAAAAAAAAGTACAAATACTAAATTTTAAGCAAAAATTTATTTTTGCTTAAAATTTAGTATTTGTACTTTTTTACGACGAGAGCAAGTGTTGACCTATAAGACGTTCAATCGTGAAATGTTGCCTAAGTAACTGTGCGACACATGTGAGGTGGGGCCCAGCCCTGCATATAATCGTAGTATCTAAAATGCCACGTTACTGCAGTTCATGTATCACGAAACGTTTTAACATTGACTCTAAGCGTTCTGCAATCACAGTGGTCCAGCTGTTGACTGCTATTCAGAGAAAAATGGTTCAGTTATGAAACTAGCTGTCATTCCTCAACAAACGGTGTGGAATGACTGCTATGCAATCGAATGCACTAGGAGAATGCAATGGAACTAGGTAGATAACATAAGGGATTCTTTGGCCCAAATCGCTTAAAAGCGTTTTGAATCAGTATCTTCATGTTTTAGGGCCAAATTCAGGCTTCAAAAATTACAAATTAACGATCTGTAAGAAAACGATTTCCAGACTGTACGCACTTGTGCGAGTGATTTGCGATCTCACATTTTCTAATCGCTAATTCGTGGTTTTCACAGACGAATTTCTCCCTTACACGGATGGTGCACTCGACTTTTATCGAATTTAACGCCTTTAAATGGTAATTTGCTCACTTCAAAGTTTCTTAAGGGTATACAACATATTAAACCCGTGTAACAAAAGGATTAAGTTAGATTCCGACTCATATTTCGTTTAACAATATTGCATACAGCGCCATTCCTCCCTGGTGGTGAAGTTTCGAACTTTCTGTTTTTTCGTAGAAAATAAATTCTCATGACCTCCTTTACACGGTTACTTCAAGTTTAAGAACATTTGATCCAGTAGTTTTCCTTTCATGACCGTTTCAAAGTGGAACTTTAATTATAACCACCTTGTATATTATTAAATTTTAATTTGAAGCTATGCGTTATATGTATACCATGCGTAAGATTTTTGCTTTTATGGAAAAAATAAAGAATCAAAGCAAATATACTTAGGAATAATGGACCTAAAACTGAAAACATTTCCCTTCCCTCCGAAAATAAAATATTGAAACTTCGAC